AAACCGAAGTCCCCCTCCTGGGAGTCTGTGCCCCTGGAGCCATGATCGGAAGTGGGACCAAGAGGTGCAGTAGATGAGCTACACAGGGCCATTTGGATCAGTTCTGAGGATGGCAGGGAGGATTTTGAGCTGGGACATGACATGATGGCTTTTACTTTTTTAAAAGCTCAGTCCAGTGTGAAAAGCCTTGCTTCTGGAGGTGGCTGAAGCAGGATGAGCAGGTTAGGAGGCCGCTGTAATAGTTGAGGCAAGGCATTGTTGTGGCCCCAACATGGGGGTGGGGGCGGGGTGAGAAATGAGCCGGTTCTGGAGAGCAGTGACCCTGGGGTTTGTTGACAGTTCGGATTATGGAAAGAAAAGAGGAACCAAGGAGGAATCCCAGTCAGTGACTAGTAAGTGGTGGTGGTGGGTAGACTGGGAGGGGAGTAGGTTCAGGGGGGCAAAATCAAGGGTTCTGCCTTGGACGAGTTTGCAGCGACTGTCAGAGGTCCCGGCTGAGATGTCAGGTGGGCAGTGGCGGTCCAGCTTCGGGCTTGAGGAACATACTGAGAACCATCATCTTCTAAGTGCTATGCAGTGCTGTAGGACTGGGAGAGATCAAAGAGGTAGATAAGTGGTCCCAGATGGAGCCAGGGACCCTCCCTCATTCCGAGGTCACTCATTAAGGAGAACCCAGCATGTGAGGTGGAGTGGAAAAGGACCAAACAGTGAGCAGTGAGGTAGAAGGAGAGCTCAAAGTGGTCAGGTGCTGGAAACCAAGGAGAGAAAGGGCTTCAAGAAGAGGGAGTGACCAATTCTAACAAATTCTGCTGATGCCACTTATGTAAGATTATAGCCATATTATCTTATGTACGTGTAAATTCATGGAGAGTTCCAGAAGAATACATACTATAGGATTAAGGATTGGGATTGGAGGAGGAAGTAAAGGAAACTTTTTTATGCTCCTCTATCATGTGTCTATCGGTTATTTACATCATTCGAAAAGAACAGTAAGTTTAAAAGGGGGAGAATACCTCCCAGGAGAGGGTCTCTCCCTGCTTGGGCTTCCTGCCTTGTTCATCCTTTCTGTAAGGAGGGCTCACTGTGCCCAGCCTGACCTTCTGCCCTTGCTGTGGGAGGGCTTGCCCTCCATCATCAGGCCGACAAACCCTCCCCTGCTCCCCCCAACGTGGGGTTACTTGGTTGTCCAGCCCTTTCAGCCTGTCCCATTTTGCATTGCATGGGGACTTACTCCCCTGGCAGCTGTCTTCTTCCAAACCAGTTCAGACAGGCAGGGAAAAGTAATTCCTCAATTGGTTGCAGCTCTTTGTGAATTTATAAATAATACGTGAGGCTGTGACATTTGCAACAGACTGCCACATTGATTTGGTTTTGTCTGTGGTGGTGGTTTTATCAATGAGCTTTTTCCTGAACAATTTCAGACTCTGTTTTGTGCAGATGATTGAAGACATTCTGGAAATTTCTTTCTTTTTGAATGATCCATTCCACCCAGACATCCCAACCCTTTGAGGCAAAACAAATACAACACACACACACACACACACACACACACACACACACACACTCTCTCTCTCTCTCTCTCTCTCTCACACACACACACACACACACTTACACACACTTTCAATCTCTGTCAAGCTGAGTATCTCAGAGTAAATGAGCCAATTTGTTTTCATTTAAATATGTAAGTAGGAGAGGCAAGCCTAATGGACATGCATGAGAGAATGCAGAGCTGTAAGCTGGAAAGAAAATGCAGATGAATTTGTCACATGCCTCGTGATAAATGATGTTTGTGCAATTAAACAGAGCCCGCCTGGAGGCCGTGAACACCTCGGGGCATCGCATTTTTATCTGCAGGGCCGTTACCCTCCTGTTTCCTGTCACAGAATCTAAACATCACAACTCCTTGGAGGAGGGGCACCTTGACTGCAAGGATGCTAAATTACGCCAAGCAGTACAGAAAAGTAGGTCAGTGGGTCACCTGTGCCAGCCTGAACAGAAGGAAAGTGTGACCCCTGCGAGGCCCAGGGCTCCCAGAGCCCGGGCAGCAGCTGGTGGAGACCCTGGATCAAGGGGGCTGTATTGCAGGGAGCAGGAAGACCCTAGGAAAACCAGAGTAAAGCTAGTATTCAGTGGAGATGCAGGAAGAGTGAAAGATAAGACAGAAAGAATTCAGAGGCCTATGGCACAGAAAAGGAGTGCCATGGATGTTTGGTGCCCCGAACAGTGGGGTGCCCAAATTTGGAGGGCTTGCTCTTGTACAGATATGGACTCCAAGTGCATCTCTTGAATCTACCTGAAGAACAAGGAGATGAATCATGGTTTAATGCAGCCTTTCAGAGCTGTCAGGGAGCTTGGGGGTTTATTTAGCTTGACCTCCCACCCAGAGCAGGAATTCATTCCCCAGAACCCCCAACAAAGGGCCTGAACATCCAGCCCCACCAAACTCAAGGAGTAATGGGTGCTCAGGGGTATGTGGGTTCACTGCTGTCATGCTGGAGAGGTGACGTGGGGTGCAGCCTGCGGGCTCTGCCCATCTGTAGAGTGGCTGGAGCTAGCCTGCTGGACTGAGGAGTGTGTCCTTCCTTTCTCACATCCTGTGCATGAGGCTTCCCATGCAGACAGCCTCATCGGAAGCCAGCAACAGGGGCTCAAGGCCCACTTAGGGACACTGAATCTGTCCCCCAACCTCCAAATGGCCACTTGTTGGCCCTGCTTCTGCCCTTGGAGCTACAAGAACTGGTGTCTTTCCCTTCCCACCCAACAAACCCCGAGTCTGCCTGCTGCATGTCCCTTGGTCTTCCCATTGCTCAGCCACACTGTGGCTTCTCCTGGACATGGCTTCTGGTACCTTCATCATCCTGGTGACTTTCTGTTCTGAGTGTGCCTCTTTTTTGTTCCCCAAGTGTGCCTTGTACATCCAGAGGACCCAGAAGCATTTTTCTATCTAGTTAGTACTCCTCCAACCCTAGGAGCATGGATTTTTATTTTACAAAACAAACTGGGAACAAAAAACTCCAGAATGGGTTTTGGATCAAAACAATGTTAGCAGTTTTGATGATTCTTCAGTACAGGTTGAGAAAGACTGGCAGAGTCCCAGCAGCTAGAGAGTTGTGGCTCCGAGGAGGGGGATGGTCTCCAGGCACCAAGGCCAGCAGAGGGACACAGGAGGGCCAGAACTGCCCTGGGCCTCAGAGGCTGTTCAGGGGCAGGGAGACCTTCCCTGTGTGCAGGCTGTAGCCGTGACCTCTACTTTGATCTATCTCAGAGCTACTTTTTGATCAACAGCAGAGTCTCTAGACCTGGGACTTTGGCTAAGGGGAAAAATGGAGCTGTTCTCTCTAAACCAGGAGCCTTCCTTCACACCTGGAGAAAATCTGGGTCTCGAATCCTGGGAGACATGTTAGTCTCCATGTTAGTGGCATGGGGCTGGATGAGACACTGGGCTCACATCCTTATGCTCCCAGCTCAGAGAAGAGAACCCCACAGTTCCTGCTCTAAGCCCACTTGACCCCACCGTCACAGGCTGGAGTCTTCTCTAAGGACTCAGGGTTACCCCCACTCAGTCATAAGCCCATTCACAGGTCAAACTCTGACCTGAGTGTTTCTGTGGCAGGTTATCTGACAGATTCCCCCCTTGATAAGGATCCTTTTCTCTACACTTGATTTCAAGGCTTCTGCCCTTTTTCTAGATTTCACCTGGCAAACCTTAAGCTGCCGTGTCCCCACAACTATTTCACCTGTGGTTACTGCCCATACCTGGGGGACAGGTGGGCTGTGTGAGGGCCTCAAAACCCACCATTCTCCCTGTACACTGATATCAGTCATGAAAGCAAATAAATGGCACACCTTTCCACTCTGTTATTATTCCTTCTAAAATATAACTCTTTATTACCATGTTGAGGCAAAATTTACTAGAACTTCAAACTTACATTTCTGAGAGTTCCTACCTTGGATTGTAAGCTGGGACTGATCCTCTATGTAGTTCTCTGTGCAGAGGATGATAACTCAGGGTCTGGTGGACGCTAGAAGGGAACACACCCAGCTCTGCCAAGTTCCAAGGTCTGACGTGGGGCTACTGGGCACAGCGAGGATTTGTACCTTGACGTGGTTCAGACTACAGGACAGTGAGCCCCTGGAAGGCATTTTCTGTATCACAGCACCCCACAAAGCTGGCTCAGAGTGGGGAGGAAAAAGATGCTTTGAGCTGCAAGATGCAATCTCTCTGCCACCCTGAGCTTCTCCCTCCCCCCCCACCCAGGAAATGGGGACCCTTCCTCGAGATAAGAAACAGTAACTGCATTGATACGGTTCTCACACCAAAAGCGGTGAGCTAGAGGAAAGCTGGATGTGCCTGTGCTTGAAGGAGGTGTGGTAATGATAGGTCCTCAGCAGGCCTCTCTCTGGGGCCACATCGATACTGGGGAACCCACACAAAACCCTTCTTCCGCAGCTTTGCAGACAGCCAAGTGCCATGGTGAGCCAGCAACAAGGAGATAAACATGGTGAGCGGGCAGGGTGATCAGTGAGCTCAGTCCACACTGTCTGTCCTACTAATTAGTGAGCCCCAAAGCTGGTGTTAGTGTGAGTAAATCCTGCTTTAGGCAGCTGTGAATGGCACTGGGGTGACCACGAAGCATCCGTTGGCCTCCTGAGTGAGATCCACACTTGTCTCATGCAGTCTGTAGTAACAGGGATCCCATTCCCCCGTCATCTATCTTCATGCATGTCTTGCACACCATTGGATAGAAGCAGCTCAAGAGGACTTAGGTCTTGTTCATCTTTGTCCCCCCAGCTAAACAATAACAGCCAGCATTTAGGAAGCACTTACTGTATGCTGGGCTCTGTGCTAAATAGGTCACATGCATTACCTTTTGCTTCTCACACCAATTCTGGGTGGTTGATAATGTTTTCCTGATTCTAAAGACAGAACATGGGCTTCATATTACCCACTGGTAAGTGATGAAGTGAGGATTCGATGAGACAGGCCGATGTAGCAAGTAGGCTCCCAACCATTGTAGCCCACAGTTATTTCAGTAAACCTGTGCCTCTCTCTAGGGCACTCACCACTGACCAGGAAGTCATCACTTCCAAGGTCCCAGGGCCTCATAGCAGCACCGACTGACGGCTCATACCAAAGTCTGTCTTTTCTGACAGCGCTGGTAGAGACCCTCCACATGACCTGTCAGCTGCCTAGGAACAGGAACCACTGTTTAGAGATCCCAGGTCAGTGCCTTGTGTGTAGAAAATGCTCAAGTGTTCAACTGAATTCAGTGTACTCTTTTCTCATCTAAGATTATAGACAGGCTCAATATAGGGTCCTTTGAGACTAAATAACATTGAGGGTTGAATTTGTAACCACGATGGGCTTTGTAATAAACATAATAAAATATGAACCCAAGAAAGAAACGTCCTCCCAGCAGAAGCTGGATTGCAAGTCTGAGTCGCGTTTGGTGATTTTACAAGTACACATGTGAAGTGGCTCTTTGCTGGTTGCTATGAGAACCAGTGCTCGAAGTCCTGTCCAATCACAGTCTCCGCAGTAGTGCGTTTCGTGTGTATGTACTGAAAGTAAATGTCAGTAAATAACAGGTGCGATTGCCCTTGGAAAAGGGAAATACCCATGACTGAGACTCTTCCAAGTATCTGTTGGTGAATGTCCTGACAGTCTTCCATGCCTACCTCATCAGATGATACCATCAATTATAAGGGAATTCTCAGGCTTCACCGAGAAGCTACTATGTGGTGGGCTCGGTGCTAAGTGTTGTGTGAGAATATAAATAAAAATCCAGGGCAGGGGCGCCTGGGTGGTTCAGTCAGTTGAGCATCTGCCTTTAGCTCAGGTCATGATCCTGGGGTCCTGGGATTGAGCCCCGAATCGGGAGCCTGCTTCTCCCTCTGTCTTCCTCTCCACCTGCTTGTGCTCTCTCTCTCTCAAATATGTAAATAAAATCTTAAAAAAAAAAAAGAGCCAGAGCAGCTATCCTTGACACTGAGAAAATTTTAGTCCTGTTGATAACTCCCATCCAAGAAACAGAACCTTTGCATACTTTCCCCAATAGTAATAATTTGTAAAACTATAGTGTAAAAACACAGCCAGGAAATGGACACTGCTCCAATTCACTGGCTTATTCAGATTTCCCAAATTTTCCTTATATTTGTGTGTGTGTGTGTTGTCACCTAAGTGGGTTCACGTATCCACAACACAGTCAAGATGTTGAATAGTTTCAACATCATAAGGATCCTGCTTGTTGCTCTCATAATCATACCCGCTTCTATCTACCCCCAATCCCATCCTTAATCCTTGGCAGCCACTAGTCAATTCAAAAATATTATATAAGCGAAATCGTACAGCATGTAACCTTTTGAGATTGGCTTCTTTTCATTCATCATAAATCACCGGAGATTCAAAGTTACTGAGTGTGTGAATAATTCATTCCTGTGTATTGCCGAGTAGTATCGTGTGGTATGGATGGACCAGTTGGTTTAACTATTCACCTATCAAAGGATATTGGGGTGAATTCCAGTTTGGGCTATAACAAATAAAGCTGTTGTGAACATTCATATGCAAGTTTCTGTGTAAATGTAAGTTTTCATTTCTCCGGGATGAAAGACGAGCAATTACATATTACAATTACATATTGCTGAGTCCCATGAAGTTGCATGTTTAGTTTTAAAAGAAACAAACTGTTTTTCAGAGTGGTTATACTATTTGACAAGCAATGCATGAGAGATCCATTTTTTCCTCTTCCTTTCCTGCTTTTGGTATTGTCACTATTTGTTTTAAAGATTTATTTATTTACTTTAGAGAGAGAAAGTGAGAGAGCATGTGCAGGGAGGTTGGGAGGGGCAGAGGAAAGAAACTCAGTGAACTCCCCGCCAAGTGGAGAGCCCAAAGCAGGACTCGATCTTATGACACCCTGAGATCATGTCCCCGAGATCATGACCTGAGCCAAAATCAAGAGTCTGATGCTTAACTGACTGAGCCACCCAGGCACCCCTTGTCAACTATTTTTATTGCAGTCATTAGGATATATGTGAAGTGGTATCTTATTGTTTGTTTGTTTGTTTGTTTTTTTAAAGATCTTATTTATTTATTTATTTGTTTATTTGACAGAGATAGAGATCACAAGTAGGCAGAGAGGCAGGCAGAGAGAGAGGGGAAAGCAGGCTCCCTGCTGAGCAGAGAGCCCAGTGCAGGGCTCCATCCCAGGACCCTGATATCATGACCTGAGCCAAAGGCAGAGGCTTAACCCACTGAGCCACCCAGGCACCCCTAGTATCTTACTGTTTTTAATTGGCATTTTCCTCATGGCTAATGACATTGCACATCTTTTCATGTGCCTATTTACTATCTGTAGATCCTCTTTGGTGAAATGTCTGTACATGTGTTTTGCCCATTTTGTAATTGGATTTTTTGGTATTTGCTATTGAGTTTTGTGCCTTCTTTATATAGCATAGATACTAGTCCTTTGTCAAGTATATGGTCTGTAATATTTTCTTCCAGTCTGTAGCTTGGTTTTTCACCTTGTGAACATGAGCTGCCACAGAGCAAAGGTATTTAATTTTGATGAGGACCAGCTTGCCAATTTTTCTTTTTGTGCATCATGCTTTTGGTATTGAGTCTAAGAACACTTTGCATAGTTCCGGTTCCTGAAGACTTTTTCATACAGTTTTTTTTTTTTTAAGTTTATAGTTGTGCATTTTACCTCCTAAATTCATAATCCATTTTGAATTAATTTTGTATAAGGTGTGAGGTTTATCTCATGGTCCATTTTTTTGACCTACAAATGTTCATTTGCTCCAATACCATTTATTGAAAAGGCTGTCCTTCCTCTATTGAGTTGCTGTCACATCTTGTCAAAAATTAATTGGCCATATTTGTGTGGGTCTGTTTCTAAGTTTGCTATTTTTCCTTTGATCTATGCATTTAGCCCTCTGTCACTACCATGCTAATTTGACTACGGTAGTTCTACACAGGCCTTAATAGTGGGTAGAATGATTCCTCCCACTTTATTGTTCTTTGTCAGGATTTTTTTTTAGCTATTCTAGGGCCTGTGCTTCCATATAAGTTTTAGAATAAGATTGTCTATTTCTATAGAAAATCCTGCTTGAATTTGTTTGCAATTGCATTAAACCTGTAGATCAATTTAGGGAGAATTGACATCTTTACTATGTTGAGTGTTCCAATCCATAAACACAGTATGGCTTGCCATTTATTCAGGTCTTTATTTCTTTCATCACATTTTATAATTTTCAGCGTAGAGATCCTGTACATGTTTTGTTAAGTGTATGCATAAGCATTTCATTTTCTTTGGCATGACTATAAATAGTATTATGTTTTTTATTTTGATTTCTACATGTTCATTATATATAGAAATACAACTCATTTTCTTTGTTGATTTTGTATTTTGTGAGCTTACTGAGCTCACTTAGTAGTTCTAGAAGGTTTTTCATGGGTTCCTGGGGAAAGTATTCAGTGTTTCCTTATTAAGTATAAGATTAGTTGTAATTTTTTTGTTATTGAAATTCTTTGTCAAGTTGAGGTTATTTCTTTTAATTCCTAACTTGCTGAGATTTTTATTATGAATCATTTTGGATTGTATCAAATGTTTTTTGTGTGTGCCAACCAATATGATTATATGGTATTTCTGTATTAGCTTATGGAAATGAAACCTAACATTGAATGATTTTTTGAATGTTCAATCAGACTTGCATACCTGAAAGAAATCCCACTTGTTTATGTTGTATAATTCTTTTCAAACTTTATTGGATGAGGTTTGTGAATATTTTGTTGAGGGTTTTAACATCTAATTTCACAAGAGTTTTGGTCTGTTATTTTCTTTGTATTGTTTTTTTCTGGTTTAAGTATTCAGGTAACATTGGCCTTGTAAAATGAGTTGAGACATGTTCCTTCTTGTTCTGCTTACTGGAGGAGATTGTTTAAAACTGGTGTTAATTCTTTAAGTGTTTGGAAGAATTCTGTAGTGGCTTAGAGATTTCTTTTGTGGACACTTTTCAGTTATTAACTTGATTTCTGTAATAGAGAGTTATTCTGATTATCTACTTTATCTTGGTTGATGTGATAGTTTGTGGTTTTTGAAGAATTAGTCTATTTCTTTGAAGTTGTCAAATATATGGATTTAATGTTATTCCAAATATTCCCTTATTACCTTTTTAATGGATGCAGGATTTGGAGTGGTATACCCCATTTCATTCTTAATATTGATGGTATGTCTTTCATTTTATTTTTTCCAGTCTTGTTAGAGATTTATTAATTTTATTGATTAAAAACAATCTAAATTTCATTCATCTCTACTCCTTTATTTCTTTTGTTTTCTTTGGGTTTATGTTGCTCTTTTAGTTTCTTGACGTAGGAACTTAGTTTTAGACTTTCCTCTTCTCTAATGTGAGCATTTAGGGCCCTAAATTTCTTCACATTATTCCTTTAGTTGCATCCCATGAATTTTGATATGCTGTATTTTTGTTTTCATTCAGTTCTATGTATTTTTTTAAAATTTCCTTTTAGATTCCTTTGACCCATGAGTTGTTTGTAATTGTGTTGTTAATTTTCCACTTACTTAATTATTTTTCTGTTGTTGATTTCTTATTTCTTTGTGGCCAGAGACCACAATATGATTTTGTTGAGGTTTGTTGTATGGCCTGTGACATAGTCTACCTTGGTGAGTGTTCTATGGGCACTGGAAAAAAAATGTTTAGTTCAGTGCAGCTTGGTGGAGTGTACTATATATGCCAAATAGATCCTATTGTTTGATTGTGTTAGATCTTCTGTATCATTGCTGATTTTCCATCCAGCAGTTAGTTCAGTTTCTCAGAGGGAAGTGTTGAAGTCTTTAGCTCTAATCATGGATTTTTCTATTTCCCTATCGGGTCTATCAGTAGTATCATGTATTTTGAGACTTGGTTGTTTGGTGCATTCACATTTAGGACTGTTATATTGTCTTTATGGATTGACCCCTTTACCTTTATGTAATGTTCCTCTTTAGTTTTCGTGATTTTCTTTGCTCTGGAGTCTTCTTTATTGGATATTAAAATAAAATCAGTCCTGATTTTTTTTTTAAATTGTTTTTGTGGTTTATTTTCCCCATCTTTTACTTTTAACCTACCTGTGTCACTGAATTTGAGATGAGTTTTTATGTAAACTGTTGGGTTATTTTTAAAATCTAATCTGCCATTTGGAGTATTTAGATCATTTATATTTAATT